ATATATTACTAGTCTTCAGTACGGATTACACTTCAACATAAAGAAAAGAAAAATCCTCACAAATGGACTAATAAGCAACATTACGATAAATGGAGAAAAAAAATTAAGCTGTTGTAGATTTCATTTTCCTTGGATACACAATCAACATCCATGGAAGCAGTAGTCAAGAAATCAGATGTCATACTGCACTGGGCAAATCTGTTGCAACAGACCTCCTTAAAGTGTTAAGGAGTAAAGATGTCACTTTGATAACTAAGGTGTGTCTAACCCAAGCCATGGTATTTTCAATCACCTCACATACACGTGCAGGGTGGATAATAAATAAGGAAGACTGGAGAAGAGTTAGTGCATTTGAATTGTCGTGTTGATGAAGAATACTGAAAATACCATGGATTGCCAGAGAACAAACAAACCTGTTCTGGAAAAAGTGTAGCTGGAACACTCTCTAGAACCAGAAGTGGCCAGACTTCATCTCACCTACTTTGGTCATGCTGTCAGAAGGTATCATTCCTTAGAGAAGGGTATCATGCTGGGTGAAATGGAGGGTCAGTGAAAAAGGGGAAGACCCTCAACAAAATGGATTGACACAGTTGTGTTAACAACAGACTCAAGTATAGTAAGGATTGTAAGGATGGTACATGACTGGACACTGTTTCTTTCTGTTGTACACAGGTTCACTATGACTCAGAGCCAACTCAACAACACCTAATAACAACAATATAACCAAATTTCTATGTACTTCTATTAACAACCTTAAGTTTAACAATTCATTGGATGTTAAATATACAGGGAGGTTCTGGAATAGTATAGACAGATTAGAATCTCTGGGAGATGAATATGTACTCTAAATTCATAACCTAAAGCTCTATATTAATCTTACTCAATTTAAACATTGCCTCCTTGTAGCTACTATAATCACATAAGAATTCTGCCCCTGCAAGCACATTCCTAAGATCATAAAACCAAGACAGGAAAAGCTCACAAAACAGAGCAACTATATTCCTCAGATCATGAGACCAAGGAAGGAACACTGCAAAAGAAATGTAAATTTACTATTAGCTAGCATTTCCTGATAATTGGCCATTTTTTAGGTTTTTTTCTAACCTGTGGTCAGTGTTAATCAGTCTTGGAGTCTGCATACTCCTGTACTCCTTGACTGCCTTATGAACTAAGATGGCTGATCTAAGATGTGACCAAGACTTGAACCAAGAGCAAACAGCAGGACTTCTGGTTAGATGGCAGAAGAGACAGACAAGAAACACAAATCTCCTCAATAAAGAAAAGAGACACCGAGAGTTCCAGTAAGATGGCAGAATAGGCAGACAGATTGCATAGACCCTGTTCAACAAAGAAAAGGGGAACCAATTAACACAGAAACAGAAGATAATCCTGAACCCCGGAGCTCTGAAGGGAAGGATACAGAAGTGGACTAAACTCCAACGAAAAGAACCTGCATAAAAACAGTGAAAAAGGGGACATACGGAGCTGCGGTCTATCAGCGATC